TCCATGTGTGATGCCTTCCACTCATTTATTGGGCTGTCTGAAAATTTCTAAAAGATCTGTAAAAGGACTTTGTACAATAAGAAACTTACTCTTAGTTAAAATGTTCCAATTTTTTCTCAGATTATTATCTAACTTTTTATGATACCTTGAGGTGATTAATTTTTAAAATGTGATTAACTGATCTGTCTTTCCTTTTGTGTGGTTCCTAGGATACTCACATGCATGACTTCACTTGCCCTTTACAATGGCATGGGGAGACCTTAATGATCCCACTTACTATCTTATTTCACATTGGAGCAAACTGAGGCACAAGGAATAGTGGGTGAAACTAGGTCTTGACCTTGAGCTCCCTAATTTCCCATCCAGGTCTTCTTCATGGCCTGGCAGCCAATCACATCTTCCAAAAAGGGCTTTCAAGTCTTTATTTTGTTGACACCACTCTTCCAAACATTTATTTCAAACCTTTAAAGGAAAACAATGAACACACACACAAAAGAAAGAAAACATAAACAGACCTCGGTGCTGACCTTTTCGAATATTTACTGGTTAGAGCACTGAAGAGGAAATCAATCGAGGCTGCCCTCGCCACCCCCACGCGCGGCCCCGCCCCGGCTCTTGGGTCGGAATCTCGAGTCCCCTCTCGCATCTTCCCCTCTTTCCTCTGGGCCTTGGTATGCCCCAGGGGACAGATGTCTTGGGATCTTTAACATTTGGGATGCTGCAAATGCCGAAGTTAAATGAAATACCTCCGGGGCGGGAAGGCCGGGGGGAGACTCGGGGAGAGGGAAGGTGGCCCGGACGCACGGGTCCTGAAGCCGCGAGGCGGGAACGGGGGGCGCGGGGGCAGGCGGGCGGCGCCAGAGCTCCATGGGACAGGTAAGGGGGGCACTTACCGCGGGCACCCCGCCCCCGGACCCACGGTCTTCAGCCTTAGCGGAGGGGGCCCCCGCAGGGGAGAGGGTGATTTTGCCCCGGGGGTGGGATTGGGACTTCCTACCGAACATGCACGTTTCCCTCTCCGACCTTTCTCCTCCGACCTTCCCCACGCCCGGGGACGCCCGGCCGGGGTCCGGAAAGCCGGAGCGCAGCAGCCAGACAAAAGGAGCAACGTCCCGGCCGGCCGGGGCGGAGGGCGCGGTGGGGGAGGGGAGCGGGTGGACGGGACAAAGGGGCTTTTGAAGACAGCCTGGAGGTCCGGTCTCAGGGCGCGTTCCGGGCTGGCCTGCACTTCGCCTGTCCCAGCCCACTCCGCGCCATCGGTGGCTGGAGGCGAACACCTTTCCCGGTGGGCGGAGAGGACAGCGGAGAAAGGAAAGTCAGGGGGCCATCTCCCAGCGTCCTCACTTGGAGGGTCCCAGGCTATTTATCTCTCTTCGTTTTTCCACTGTCGCTCCAGCAGCTGACCATTGATTCATTAATTCATTAAGTAAAATTTTAGGAGTGCGTGAGACTGTACTTTGCTGGGTGCTGTTGGGAACATGGAGATGGTAGGACCGGAGTGACATGGCAGTCAACTAGATCCAGTGGAGCCTCCCTGGGGGTTCTTGGCGGGAAGGTTGGTTTGCCAGCCACATTCCAAACCTCAGATTAGGCCGGGCTGGAAAATGCTGAGTGTGAATTTGGGGGAGCAAGGTGTGTGAGAATATTCCAGACCATCAGCGCAAACGGTGAGGTCGATCGTCTGTACTTCTCTCCCCTGAATTCGGAGATGGGGGATGACCCCAGGGTAGGGGTTCTCACCTGGGCCCACGGGCACCAAGGCATCTATGGAGAGAATTCAGAGAGTTTGTAAATTTAGATGGGGAAAAAAGTAGTCTTTATTTTCAAGAACTTGAGCAGAAATTTAGCGTCGCCTTCAGTTATGATGGCCACCAAACCACAGTAGCATTGGCAGTACCTGTGACTTTGCCATTAATAGAATTCGCAGTTTCATATCACATAGCAGCTGTCTTGAAATATTGTTTACACTCATCGCTTACATGAAATTACCCACTGCTAGATCCTGTTTAATGTTAATAAAAAGGCATATATATATATATTGCTATGTTTTTCTGTTTTTAGAGCTGTATTTCAATATAATTGGTTCTCTTAGTGATTGTCTTAATTTTCTTTTATGCATTAAAGTATATGAGCTATGAGTTGATTCTAGAAAGTTTCACAACCCCCCACCTGGAGCTGGGGAATGGGCAAGGTAGAGGAAGGGCTACGTATGCCCAGAGTCACCTCTCTCTGACACTGGAAGAAAGTGCCTAACCTAGAGGGGGATGGTGAGGGACTGCTGTATTGGGGAGGACTGGGGGAAGGGCAGGACTGCAGGCTCTTTGGGAGACCCGAAGAGCATGTTCCCCATGGTGGGGAGGGGGCAGCAAGCGGAGACTGTGCCCTGTTAGGGCCCCTCAGCCTCAGCCTGGGGGGAGAAGCAGGTCAGCCTGGAAGACTCTGGGGCTAGCATTGTTTGGAAAGAGGGTGTGTACAGGAATGTGAAGGTGTGCTGCCTGTGTGTGGGGGGAGTGGGGCCTGCTGGCGGAGGGGAGGTGGCGCAGAGCTCTGCCCCACAGGAGATGCTTGGTGGGAGCGCACTTCCTTAATCCGCTCTGCACTGAGGGGTGGGGAGTGGAGACGGGGGTCTTTAGGGACTGGGGGAGGGGAAGCAATCCAAACTTGTGGAGGTGCTGGAATCTGGGCGGGGGCGTGGGGGGAGGATCAGAGAGTGGAGGAGAGGAGGGTGACGGATAAAGACTTGAGGGGTGCAGCTCGCCCACCCCTGCAGTCTACCTCTGGGTGTTCCAGCCTGCTGGGGACAGGCAACAGTCAGCCTTTGCTCTGCTCCCCCTGTGAAATAGGCTGGGCTCCACGCAGTTTTCCATTTGCTTGAAGGTCCATGGGGTGGGAGACCTGGAGGTTTATTTTTTTGTAAGTAACAAGTTCCATTTTGGTCTCTGGACCCCTGCATTTGGTAAGTGGGCTTAGAGCCTGGAGTCACAGTGGCCTTCTTGTAGAGTAGGGGACAGGGCTGGGGATTGGGGTGCTGGGGGATGGAAGTAAATAATAAACAAGAAATGATGGCCTTGATGCCCCTGGGGAGAAATGACTGGGATAAAAGGAGAGAACAGCCTAGGTGTCCCTCTCTAGGACCCTAGGGCCTCTGCGTATGGAATTCCAGGGTGGCTGCCTTGCCTGAGGTTTTTTAATTCTGATTTGGGAGAGATGAAACTCAGGCCTTGGTCTCCATTTCGGTTTATGAATTTCCTGCTGGTGTTCCTCATGGCAAGTGAACATTTCACCCTGCTTTTGGGGCCTAACATGCCTTGATTTCTGGAAAGGGAAACTGAGGTACAAGGGAGGCAAGGAGAGCCAGGGTCAGGGCAGGCACCTCACAGCTCCCACATTGCACTCAGGGCCCCTGAGGCCATGAGGACATGACCCCTTTGGCTTCCTGTGGGATTCCTCCTTGGGGAGCCCCTTTTTCCCTGCTCCCCTCCTGCCCCCGGAAGTGCAGAGGCCCAGGAGCCGCCTGCCTGCTCAGTCGCAGCGGGATTAGTTCAGGGAAGGACTTGCTCACCTGCCCCTCCCCTCTGACTCAAGTCATAACAAGTAACCTGGCTCCCCTGGCCTGGCAGCCCGGGAGGGACAGACCGGCCAGCAGCGTGCGGAGAGCAACGGCCTGTTCAGAGAGAGCACAGGGCGGCCGACCTGTGGCCTGGGAGACCCTGAGGCGACATGCGAGGCCCTTCGACCCCCTGACCTGGGAGCAGGGGGTGTCTGCCAAATTCCTGGACTAAATCCCAGAAGCAGGTGAGGGCGGGGCAGGGTGGAGAGGATCTTTGGGGCTGAGGGGTAGGCTGGCTTGGGAGCGGAGGGAGCCCAGGAAGTGGCCATCACCCCTCCCCCGCCCCCACCAGCTCATATATGGGGCACAGGGATCTTAGGGGGGTGCCGGTGGGCTTAGATGCGAGCATGGATGGGGAGCCTGTCCCCGTGGTTCCCCAGGTGTTAGTTTCCACCAGAGAAAGGGCAAGCAGAGATGATCTGGAATAGAGAGGCCCGGGACCTGGCTTTGGGGGTCCATTTGTGATGGGGGAGGATCCCCAATGGCTAGAGGTTCCCTTCCATCTATCCCCCTTCTTTCCTCCTCTGCCTTTTTCTGGGACATTGTTCAGCCAGGTGGGCTGCTTCTTAGGGCCTTTTGCTGGGGCTGGGTGAGAGGAGCAGGAGCCCGGGGCTGAGGGTGTGGATGGTAGGAAGGGCCAGGAGGCGTCCCTGTGTGGGGAGGGCTGAGGATGTTACCTGAACTGCCTTTATGCAAAAGCAATGCCTTAGACACTTAAGACCCCCATCCTCCTGGGTGGAGGTGGCCTGAGCCCTGGCCTGTGGACTCTGGGGCATGTTCCCCACGCTGGGGCAGGGGGTGGGGATGGGGGGAAGTTTGGCAGGGACAGATGAGTGGGGTCTGCTACGTGACTGCGTGGGTTTCCTTCTCAGCCTGACATTGTTCCAGAGGTCTAGATCAGACCAGGGAGCTAGAGAGGGCCTTAGATACTGTCTAATCATTGTGCACAGGAGGAAAGGAGGCCCAGCAGAGGCCCAGCGAACCAGGTGAATTCCGGAGGTAACTCGGGCAGTAGCAGGACGACACTGGAATCCAGGGCTCCGGACTTCCGGTCTTGTGCTCTTTGCCCTACTTGGAGCAGCAAATTAGATTGGGACCACCGTGAAAGCCTGTGCCTCCCCCCCTTGACCCTGGCAGTGAGGGACTGGGCTGACCTGCGGGCGGGGGGAGCTGGAGAAGAGAGGAGGTGGCTAAGGCACCTCCTTGTCCTTGTAAGTCCCCTCTCCTCTCTGCAACAGTCTAGGAGCCCCTGAGACGCAGGGGCTGAGTTGTCCCAACTTTTCAAGGCAACTCCTCAGTGGTTAATAATTAGCAAGCGTGCCTAATTAGTGGCTTCCCCTCCCATGTTACCTCCTCCCGTTTTCCACAGCACAACTGTTCAGCGTGCTGGCTGAGGCTCTGCCTTGCTTCCTAGCTCTGGCTGGGTCCTGCCCCTGGCTTCTGGGGAGGGTCAGAGGATGCCCAGGGTGGGTAGAAGGCTGGGATTGAGCGGGCGGAAGGAGGGGTGAGCTGCCTGCTCCTCTGTCCCGTTCTTATCTCTTGGAGCCATAAGGGTTTGGGATGGATGGCCAGTGCAGAGCTAATAGTCACCCTGAGTACTCTGCGTTTCCCAGAATGTGTGGCCAATCTCTCTCTTTGGCATGTTTGCAAAGGCTCCACATATTTTTTTCCTTTTTGAAAAAATTCTACCATGCATTCTCTAGACTTCCTCGGAGAACCGAAATTCCAAAGTGCAAGATACATATTGTTTTCAGAGCTATATTTCTAATCGTTGCTGCCTGTGGTACTGTGATAGGCTGTGTTGTTTACTTCGGTCTATGAAAGCTCTCGATTGTTCCTGCTGTCTGTCTGGATAGGTGGAGAGGCTCTGTTGGGTACCTGGCTGACAGCAGTCCCCTCTCCCTCTCTCCGCCTTGCTTTGTGGTCTGCTCTCCCAAGGCCTACTTTTCTGTCCTGTTGGCTGCCCTTGGAGGGGTGGAGCCCCCCTCCCCCTCCCCACAGCCCTGTGCTTGAGGAGGCAGGATAAGCTCCAGACAGAAACTCAGAAGGACTTTTGGACTCTTGCTCAATGGGCTGACTCAGTAAGGAGGTGGCTGGGTTCTCCTTCCAGACTGTCCGCCCAGGCTCCGCCCGCCCCTCCCCACCCCTGCTCTAGCCAGCAGCTGCCAGGCCCTGGCCAGCTGGGACCCCGTCTAGGGTGTGGGCTTGGTGAGGAGAGAGAGGCAGCGGGCACAGGTGTTGTTTGGGTGACTGGTGCCGGCTGGGTGACATACAACTGGGATTGCACCCGTGCCACCCAGGGAGACAGAGGAGCAGGTGGTCTCCTTTCTGTCCTTGGGGAGCTTCTGCTCTGGGCACTCTCTCCCCCCAACTTCTGGAAACCCTGACAGACACACCCCCGGGTCTCCCCTGGCTGTGGGACATAGGCGATCCAGGCTCACTCCCTCTTGAGGGGCCTCCTAGGTATGTGGTGGCTCTGGGGTTGCTTCAGGGCTTTGGGACACCTTTTTGTCATAGAGCGGCTGCATCTGCCTGCAGATGAATAACCTGGGCTAGGGAACAGGGTGGCCTGGGCTTTGGCGGCCCCGGACTAGGGCTTTGGGCCAGTGCCCTGGCACTTCTTAAAGAGCCCTCAGCCACTGAGGCAGCAGGACATGCCTCGTGCTTCCTGGGTGGTCGGGCTGAAGACAGCCGGGCCCACAGAGACATCTCACTTGTCCCTCCCTTTCCTGCTTGCTTTGTCACCCATCCCATTTTTCTTATCCCCTTCCTTTTCATCCTCTCTCCTTGTCCTGCTCCCCAGTCTTGGTGGCTCTTGTGGCCACTACTGCTGTCAACTCCCTTGGGCCTGGGAGGGCTGTCCAGCAGGGAGCTAGGCTGGGCCTCAGAGAGCCCACCTTCTCTTAGGCAGCCCCCCAGGACCAAGAACCCCCTGGTTCCCCCACAATCGTTCCAGAAACTCAGCCCTCACTTCCATTGCCCCTGCCGTCGAGCATCTCTTTCTAAACTCTGTATGGAACCAAGGAGGTTTACATATAGCTTTTTTCTTATCGCTCTTTTCTCTTAAAAGCTGGGGAAACTCCAGGCTACCTACACATCCTGGCCCAGGCTGGGAACGGTGTCACCCCTCCCCGCCCTGTGCCCTCTCCTCCCAGAACTGCAGCATGGAGAGTAAGGACGAGGTCAGCGACACTGACAGCGGCGTCATCCTGCAGTCTGGTGAGTGGTTTGGGGAAGTCCCACCGCCCTGGCCCCCGGCCTGACTCCTGAGTCCTGAGTCCCCAGGCTCTAGGGCTGGCCAGGTGGAGACTCCCAGGGCTGGGGGGAGGGGCAGTTACTGGAAGGGCCGGAGCCTCAGGCATACATGGACTTTTCCTCCCTGGAGGGGTCTAGCCTGGAGTTTGGTCCTGTCTGGAACAGGAATCTGCAGTGTGTGACTTTAGCCCTGGCGGTTACTAAGAAGTTGAAACATGTCATCTGGCCAGTGTAAAGGTCCTGGCTCTCTGGCCAGCCCATGCTTGTGTGCCTGGTCTTGACAGAAGACAGGAGAGAAGAGGCTTGTGTGTGTGCATGAGAGAGGGAAAGAGAGAGAGGAGGAGGGGGAGGTGCAGAGGGAGTTCTGACCATGCAGCCCTCCTGCCACTGCAGCTCGCTTGGTGGGATGGCCCTTCCCTCTGAGCTGTGATGTTGCCTCCTTTGGGCAGCCAGGAAGCTGTCCAAAGTGGTTATGACACCGGCCACTGCAACTAGCCCATAGCTTGTGGGCAGGCATGAGGCTGTGTGCGTGTGCGTGTGTCTGTGTGTGTGTGTGTGTGTGTGCACTCCCTAGGGGTGGTCGGCAAGTGTCCCAGACAGGCTTCCCTGATTCCCTGAGCTGTACCCGCAGGCCCGGACAGCCCTGTGTCCCCGATGAGGGAGCTGACCCACGCGGTGCGCAAGCAGCAGAGGGCGCTGGAGGCGCGGCTGGAGGCCTGCCTGGAGGAGCTGAGGCGGCTCTGCCTGCGCGAGGCGGTGAGCGCCGGTGGCCGCCACCCTGGGCTTGCTGACGAGCCTGGGAGCCACGTTTGGGGAGGGGGT